CCCACTGATGGCACCACGCTACGGCCGATGGGGCGAGCTTATTTGTGTGCGCAATTGATGATTTTACGTGGGTTGGGACACTGCCAGGGTGTCCAGACCCAGGCAGAGGGATGATTAGGGTCCTCTACCAAAATCTTTGGCTCAAAAGCCCGACCGCAAGGCAACGATGTGGCGGAAGATGCAAGTGCATTTCAATTTTTACAGAACAAGTCGCCACATATGCTTCGAACTAAAACCCAGAGGGTCACGAAATTGTATTGATCAGACTTCTAGCCATTGACCACTGACAACTGGCCAACGGAATATTTACTTACTGTTGTTTTATATACCTTGCATTTAATGTCATAATACCTTTAATTTTATTCAAGGGAAATGGTTAAGCTGGCCAGCTTTTTACTTGAACCAGCATTTGCAAATAAAGAAATAATCCTTTCCACCTATTCGCAAAACCATGAACAATTTTGTCTTCCTTTTGTTGAGAAAAGAACTCGCGCTTCAGAGGTATTGCTTTTCAACTGAGAAAAAACTACCTGAACAGATGATTGCATTTTTCAGTGGCATTAACATTTCTGTTACGACCAAGTGTGCGCTCTGAGACCAGCTAAATAAAGCGATCCATGGATTTTTATTAATTGGTCGCAATGTGGAAATTTTTAGAGCAGAGCAAATAAACTTCAACATATGACCCGAATCAAAGGCTGTAATTCGACTGCTTCGGAATGCCGAACAAGCAGCCCAGAGAGCGATATGTTTCAATGATTAGAATGCGAATGTACTGACCGGAAGGTCTGTGGTTCGAACCCGACTTCTGCTTCTCGAATTCCCCTGTCTAGACTTGGGCAATCTGGCGGTATCTCAACCTTCATTCTTCCTTCTCGTGGCTTGACAGTTCAGCACCGAAGCAAACTTAACCACTCAAAAGGTAACAAGTGTTCGAAAGCAACTTCGAGATAGCCCATAACCAACTGAAAGGGCTCAACAATGGGGAAGCGCAGTGGTTGTCGAAAAACCTAAAGTCATTCACTGAACCACAAACAAAAGGGATCATCCAGGTAAGCGGGGATATACACAGAGAACTTACAGTATTCCTCCACCTGAAATACAAACTCGTTAAGGAAGCGCACGCAGTGAAAGAGGAGATTCCGGACTACTCTGCGGTATGTAAATGATCGTACGTCACGTGATACATCCAACACAAAATACATGCATCTCAATGGTCTCACGCTTTGGTAAAATATTCATTGAAAGGACTTGTCTTCCGGTGAAATTCCCAAATAACCCTAAACCGGCCGTATAGTTTCATAGACTCGTTTGATTCTGGCTTTACCATAACCTGAACTGTGAGCCAGAAATCGACGAGAAGATTCGCCTTAGTTCGGGGATTTCCCCTAACTAAATTAAGCTATGTTTGTAGTGAAGTGAAAATGGGATGGTTTGTCGGTCTGTACCTCCTTTCGTGATGGTTGATGAGGTGGGACTACCAGATGGGAGTCCGTGTATATGCCCTTAATAAGGGAAACAGGATATCCTGTGCGCTGATTGCGCACAGTTTATCCCACTGTTGGTGGGGGAGGTATCATTCGAAGGCTGTTCTCGGATAGTTTGTAAAGTAACTCAAATAGTATCAAAAAGGATAAGAAAAACAAAGAGACAAGAGGGGCACTTTCATCAGACATCACTGCTTGTAGTAAAGCTTTCAGAGAACGCCCCATACACTCACCCACACGTACATGAACACAAAACGCGCATGATATAATGATATAATATAACCATTCAGCCGTAGCACCCTTTCGGTGCATAGCTGCTATGCCACCCGAAGGAAGTATATGGTCTGGAATACGGCCTGGCTTCCCAAGCCTAGACAGGGGAGGTCGAGAGGCAGAGGATCGAACCACGAACTTACCAGGCACTAAATTCGCGCTCTATCCACTGAACCACCTTGCACTGAAGGTGATATATTGGACGCATAGACGCCATTAAATGCACAATTGGGCCATTCCTAGCACTGTCATTAACCATGGTGAGATGAGTCACTGGATACCCATCCAGGGAGGTGGAAGTTGCCTATCCGACTACTTTTACTTAGTTTTCACACACTGTCCACCTCTTGGTCACACAATACACCTAACATGTGGTAGCCTCATAACTAAAGTCCGTGAAATAAAATGGAGCTTCCACCGAAACTTGCGACACTCATTACGGCACCCTCCAAGGCTTTCCCCCACAAGATAGTCTACCATGTCGGGCAGATGGAGCAACCATGTCAAAACTCCTGCAGAAAGAAACCTCTCACTGCATGGGAATAAATTGCTCCGCTTTTCTGTAGCCAGAAAAAATTCATAATCAGCTTTTTAACCTACTGAACTCACACCCGTCAAAATACATAATTCCCAGGATTATACAAAACACTATCTTCAGGGAACGAACGAACACAAGAACGTTCAATCTCCTCCTGTACTGCTTTAAAGTTGAACTGACGTTGCACGAACAGCCAACCAGTCGTGAAAAAACCTCACCAAATTGGGCTGAGTTATACAGATTATGCTCTCGCGTATGTGGCTATTATGCAGACGCACCGTTATGCGGAAGTAGGATGACGGCCTCTCCTAGGAGCGATATGTTCACAAGTCGCGCTTATGGTTACGCAGGGCTCGTCAAACAGCCGATCAGCGTTTCAGATCTGCTGAGCATTTTTGAAAGTTTCTAGACTACTCGCGAGTAGGCAAAGATAAAGGCACTGCGGTGTCGACACGGACTGACTTTAGTGAGTGCCGGAGGGAANCCGGAGGTAAACCACATTTTTAGGCACTATATAATGGAGAACCTGCTGAACGTTCTTTAGTTCCAGCTGAAACACGAAAAAATGTACGAAAGCAAGTGGACATACCTTCGAAAATAGCAGACGGCGCAATCGAAAAGGTTGTTTCTCGAAAGAAAACAAAACCTGGACCCCAATTAAACCTGCCTTGGAAGGAATGAAATTGAATGCTAACTAGGTAATGAACTGCTCACTTCTGAATCAGTTAGTTTTCGAGCTATCAGCCACTTCTCGTTTATAGAAAGCAATTGATCCAGGTCGACATCATGTGAAATAACCGCTGCATGAAGTCATCTGTACGACAAGACCCTGAAGGGCAATTTCCAATTCCACCGACGATACAAGCGCTGCACCCAAAAAAAATTTTCAGCTTCCTTTACAATTAAGTGCCCCGAACGGCATCCAACATAGTGATATGCGAACGACTGTTACGGTAGCAAAGGATAATAGTATGCATAAGTCTGGTAATTGGTTTCTAGGCTGTTTTCAATGGACGTAAAACGTGTATGCAGCTATAAACACCCATCGAAGCAAAATCAGCTTCCGTAATAAAGGCATCAAACCCTCATTCTTGTCTTTGAAATGCATTGCTTCGGGTACGGCTACAGGTAGAAGCTACATAAAGTTAACCACATTCACTGGTATTAGCCAAGATTGTATACTATTGTTCCCACTTTTCAGCTTGCATATGGGTGGCCGTTTCAGGCTTCACTGTCTACTCCTAACGTCAAAAGCATCGGAGTTATATCAGTGCATGCTCACAAACACAAATACACTGCACCGGATAGTATCTACCAGGAAGTTAAGTCACCGCCTGCTCTGTCAAAACGACGTCCACTAACCCACCAGGTGCGGTTGCTCGTTTATGGATGTTCACCATCAAATGACTTTATGAAGTTGCCCAACGGTCCCCCTCCGAAGGTCACCTGGGTAGAACACATTAGTTGTACTCCAGGTAAACAAGTGTTTAGCACGCGTTCCAGACCCTCAGAGTATAAATTGCTGACACAAGACAACGCATGCAAATAAGTCGACCGGTGTTGCGGGAAAATCCGTCTAACTGAACGGCTGTACAAGTCCCTTCGAACTCAACAAGTTTAAGAGTATATTCGTAATGCACTAATCATAAGGTTGCTGAAATTTCTTCAACAGCCCTTCTTGGGGCCAATGAGGTAGGCGCAGTCCCCGAGTTTCCATCAATTTATGTTCTATTTGAGACCAAATTACACGAAATTAGCGAAATACACTTATTTGCAAACGGATTTGGTTTTGCGAGAGACTCACTCACTCTCTCGTTTGTGATGTTTTTAGGCAACCGAATGTGCTGCACCAGGCCGCCTCATGATTCGGTCGCTACCATATTTGAAATATCGAGATTCGTGTATGTTTGTAATGCACTGGAAAGATCACAAACGACAGACTGAGCTGGGTTCCAGGTGGGTCTCTCGCAAAACCAAATTAGTTTGCTAAAGAGTGCACTTCGCTAGGTTTAAGAGTGCTTTCACCGACCTAGACATCTGTTATGATGCCACCGCAGTGTCCATCCTACTCATGCAACGTGAACCCTACGCAGAAGCATGCTCGACACCAAACCGTATCCGAGGCAATGCCCAGGTAATACTCACGCATACCAAATGTTCAGGCGAAATAATCGCTTAAAACAAACGAGGCAAGCAAATTCCGCCAGTACGTATATCAGACCAGTCGTTTCACGCGAATCTTTCAGCCCGATCACGTTGTGCAAGACGAATAGAACGACAGCCAACCTGTAAGATCACATAACCCGGACGGAAACCTCCAAAATGATACACACAACGATTACTGTATAGCCACGCAACCAAAGACGCTTTTGTAGTCAAATAAACATTTCCAGAGCACATTCAATCCCCACCTTACCAGACATATGGAATGAATGACCTAGACCCACTGGTCCAGCGCTGGATCCCTTTATTTTATGGCAGCAAAGCAAAGACACTGATGCTGTGCTATCGATGATGAAATGATTCAGCTGGCTACAGTCCCAGTAAGGCTATCGGTCACGTCCGCCCTTTCCCAAGAATAAGGGTATCTGATGGATCAAACGCACGCTAAGAACACAGTTTGTAGCCACATAAGCTTTTGCAAAATCATCTGATAGTGATGTAGTAAAATCATACATTGGTATTAAGGTACATTAAATAAGTTATGAATATATACTACGAAGGAGTAGTAAGTCATCACGTGTTGCGTTAATGAATTTGTACGGAATTCCTGAAACGGAGGGAAAACAGAACAAGAGCATTAAAATTATGCGAAGTCAAGCGGGGTATGACAGGACACCTAGGAAATATGAATATGCGCTTAACGTACATCACTAATGCACGAATAGTGTAAAACGCAGAAGTTCGAAATGCATCACTGTCAGGATTAAACCAACTGCACTCAAAAGCCAGTTCAGTAGATACCCTTGAGACGTTAAGAATTCTACCTAATTGCACGTGGTAGCTTAACTTAGGCAGTAGAAGTTGTGAGTCACTTGTGTGTTGTTTATGGGTGACTTCAGGCCAATGTGACAAATGGATCTGTTATTTCATATTCCTGAAAAATAATTTGGTATGCCTCGATAGGAACAATGTTTGTATGTTGTTTTATCATATTGTTACATATTGTTATCCGCTGGAACTAAGCGAATAACTAATGCCATAGAAAGTGTAAATTTTTAAGTACATCAGAGGATTCTAACGACTGCGCTGATTTCTTTGCTCTCAAAATAGTCATGGGGAACCAGTGTCAAACTACAAAATCAAGTTATTCCATGGAGTTGACACATCAAGTCTAGTTTTCAAGCATAATGGCAGACACCAAATAAAGAACATTCAATGTACGGACTATCACGGTTACTCGGATGTCAGCGTAGTGCAGTCAGCAGCTCAAAAACACTTAAGTAACCAAGCCTCTAGTCTCCTACGCGAGAGGGTATATTTTCGAAGGTGCATCCTTAAACCGGTAATTGCGATGTGAGCAACGCTAGTGTTAATAAACGAGGGTGCATTGTGTGACAACCTGGACAATCGCTGATACGTGTCTTGCTCTGTTGTGTCACAACTGTTCTGTAGATATGGGATAGCGGTTTATGTCGAAATTGGCGCTTGAATGGCAGAGAAGGTTGTACCTGGCATCGCCGGGGTGTTTCTTCGTTGTCATAGGTGAATGATGAAATAACGCGTTACGGATAACGCTGGAGAAGTTTGAGTCTGCTTAGCGAACAGAATAAGTACCACCCAAACCCGCTGCTATTCAGGAAGAGTGTAACGAGATCATCAGATAAGGCCTTAGACAGCCTCATATTATGCACACTTCCAAGGCTCTGAAGAAAAGGATATTACGCAATATACATGTTGCCATTCCAGGTTCGTGGTGCAATTCAATAGAAAATATGCAACATGCAATCAAAATGGAAAAAAAGTTCAACTGCATACCTTTAGGAATGAGGATAAAGCAAGGGGATTTCAAACGGAAAGCATAATTAGCGATTTGCACTGCCCATTGAGATGGAGGTTGGATTGGTTCGGAGGTTGAGCTAGTGCCTGGAGTTTGCTGGATTAAATGAAACAAGTTCACCGAGTCGGGATCATAATGCAGTTGACGGCGCTGTTGTTCATCGTTGACTACTCGCGTCAGGTCTACATCAACCTCCAATTGAGGAATAACTCGGCCGTATTTAATTTCTGTGAGTTCCGGAGACCAGACACCCGAAAAAGCCGGAACAGTATATACAGAATGTTCACAGGTAGTAACGTTTTTAAAAGAAATTTGTGTGCCAGGAAAGATGACCTCTGTAAGGAAAAAACAACTCGTGAGTGTTATTAGTCATCAGTGAATGTAACAAATGTAGTAAACCACGTAAAGTGAATCAATATCCCTTGTGAACAAACCTTACGACAACTCTTTTCTCAGTGTCTCCGGTAACCGTATATACCCGAATAACTAAACTGGAATGAATTTTCCAGCTAGTTATATCAAGGCGCCACAGTGACCTGAGTACACTAGGTACTCTCAACGGTAAAGAGTGGACGGGCAAATAACATGAGAAGAGTTGCTTCCGTTATGATAATCTTTCCTCTGAGGGGTTTTATTCTGTCACATGGTGAAACAACTTATTCCGATTAAAGCTTGTCTAGGCTTGGGCAACCTGGTAGTATCCCAGCCCTCGTGCAACCTAAGGGTGGCATCGCAGTTAGACACCGAAAGGTTGCTACAGTTGAAAGATTTTCTGTTACTACTGCAAACAGGTTGTCCTAAGGCGCTTTTTACAATATCTATCAATTAAAAAACATCACTGCATGCTGGGGATACGCACCAGATGTCCCAAGCAATGTGTCGAAAGCAATACTTCAGTAGGAAAAACAGATGAACCTTATGGTTCTACGGCAGTGAAGCATCAGTGCCAGCACTGATGCTGCTGTCTTTGACGATGATGATGAACCACAACTAGCTCGCCGCGACAAACTAACCAAGTGAGGCAACCTTGAAAAGAAGTTGATTCTGTGATTGTGTCGGTATCCGTCTGTAATGCAGTCGGACGATGTGAGCAAAGCGATGCTGGGAATTGTAACGTAATTAGTGGTGTGGCGAGACTAGTCGGTGTAAGCACCGGAGCAGATGAATAACAATCGAACACATTAAATTCCTATCGGTTAGTACGTTCCCTGATAACCTTCAATAGCACTGCACTGACTGGAAACAGACAAAGCAGCCTCTTTTCGGATTTACTTGAAATCTGAAACGGCCGGTCAATGAGGAAAACGAGAAGCTCAGATTGAAAACTTACGTTGTTCGGTACTGCGATCCAGAGAATTACATGGCAAACAAAGCTGGTCGTCTGAAGCCCATTGAACGCCATCGTCTAATTGGATTAATGGCCGGTGATTAGCCGTATCAGCAGAACCTGGTAGAAGCACACGAAAAGATTAGACACGTGAGCATTCACAATGGCCTTCGGTGCTATCAATTGCTCAGGACAGTGTAACCAACGATATGCACACAGAATAGCGGGAATTCTAGTCAGGGCCGGGGCAGGCGACTTCAGTTTCTCTGTAAATGACAGGAAAGGCACTACGATGGTACAATTCACACTACTAGAAACGTGGCCACTACGTGCAGATGTACGGTTTTTGAACATTGGTGCAAAAGGAGCTTCGAAGAATTCCAAGCCTTGTTACCACAACCGTCACACCCCTAAGAGTAGACCTGAAGTACCTTATTGATGCGATCACTGTGCTTCTGAGCCTGGAACGCAGCCCAATTTCCACCTGAGAGATTCCTTGCTGCCAAGAAAGGATACTTGTGAGAAAAAGAACGAGCGTTCCGTTTGTCTTGAACAGTGTTCGCATAAAGGCGCCCCCACTCGATCTTGGCGACTACACGCACCCATGCTCCGACAACGCGGTACAGGATACGGTTGATGTCGGGCCATAAAACAGCTAGCGGTATGCAAGCTAGCACATGCGAGGACAATAATGAAGGATATGCCATAAAATAAACCACATTCACTGGTCATCGTCTGCTTAAGCGTGGGCATTTGGAATTTGACCTTTTTGATTGTGTGGTCTAGAAATGTTTATCAATCATGTTGACATGTTACTCAAGCAAAGCCCTGTTCAAGAGCAAGTAACTTCTTCCACCCACAAAACCTCTGAATCGTTGAGATTTGCCCACTACTTGGGAGATTCAAGTGCATAAGGACTGTTTGGTTTTACGTAGGCAACAGTCGTCATAATCTTGAATCCTAATCCAGCAGTATGCAGAGTGACGGTAGCAAGGAACCAAAAACTGTAAGTGACGCTCAACGGCAAACAGTTGAAGGTACGCTTGGCAGATTGCTTATATTACTAAGTTATATCCCATAACAATGGTCTACTCAACAGTTCTCATTTTTACTACCCTAGAAGACCAGTTGTGTAAAAATCAAAGTCGTGGCGAAAACGACTGCACAAGTGAGATCCTCGTCTATGGATCCAAGACGAGTACATCCTTGATGAACCCTCGAAGACTGTAAACAATAGGTTTAAATTACCCGTTCGTTTGCGATATCGCTGAGCCAGACGTTCCAGGCGCTTTGCTCGCTGTCGAACTCTAAGCAGACGCATCTTCGTATCACTCAAACGAGCTCGCTTTTGTTGAAGGAACCGTCGGCGCCTTCGCACTTCTTCGTCGGTCGGCCAAACAGCCAGGCCAACTGGCTTTTTGTACGGAATTCCGATAGAGTTAGGTTCCCAATCGTAGACCACAGCCACATTGGGATCCCGCCTTGCTGGCGGACGAATACGCTGACTTCGTCTGAGTGCACCACCACTAGCGACAAACGAAGCCGATGGGGAACGAATTTGTTCTAGGAGTAAGTAACAAAGCGGAAAAGACATAAGGAGAGTTATAAACAACACTGTGGAAGATTGCACACACATATGTCATTTAATGTAACCCATTGACATGACCAGTTACTTAATATGCTTGTGACTACCTTTAGTGATAGCGTCTTCTCCAGAATCTTCTCCGCTTTATTCAGCTTAAGAGACGTCACTTACAAACAAGTTTGGAGAATTAGCATGGTATGGTGTGGTCACTCGAGGAACTATCAGCTAAACAATGTGATATTCCAGGTGTTTTATCGGATGTAGATTTGCAGTAGATCCCACAGAATCCGTCGTTTGATAATCTGCTCTTAGTTGACTGATCCATGTCATCTACCAGCCTGCTAACACAAGTTTGCTCGGTTTCACGGCCTGTTTAAGTAAACAGTACCGAGTGTAAAGCAACAGGCTTATACTTGCGGAGGGTGCATAGGGTGGGTAAATCTCCAGGTTTCTGAGTAAACCCGGTCTTGAAAGTATGTCAGAGGGTACGGGGATCGGCCTGGCAGAAGTTGAAGGAATGAATTCACACAGGTATCCCGTACGCATAGCGGACTGGAACCCGTCATGCTCTACGAACTTGTTGCTATATATGTTCAACCATCTCTCTATTATATCTAAACGGCACGCTGTTCCTGGCGTTCCAACGTTCAGATTATATCGGTCTGATCGTGCCCATGTCTGGGTGAAGAAAAAACAATCCACAGTATGCATAAGTTAACCCAAGGGAAGCGTTTATTTCGGAGCGCTCGTTCTAAAGTGGATGCAGTGTTTAAAGGAAAGGGGTCGAGGAGAATCGCTTCTGCACTCCCTAATGGAAATCACAAAAACATTTTATTGGAGAGACGAAGACTGAGTGATATGGATAGTTCAGCACCTGTATGGGCCATGGGACAGAAAAGATGTACACTTTTTACCAGAGAACCCAAGTCTGCTTCTCCTTGTCTTTCGAAGGCTAGGCGAAACGCACTGAGTGAATGAGAACATCATATTAGAGTTCATGAGGACCCATGACAAAAATTCGATTCTAAGGTCTACATAGGAATAAAAAACGCAAAAAAAAGACGGACAAATAATCAGAGTGCATCCGATGCTTTTTGGGCCCGGAATTAGGTGGCTTAAGGCTCAAACGTAGGTGTGACATGTACACTAACCGTGGATTCCGGGTATTTTTTGGATGACAATAGCCAAACACCGAAATGGTGCTATAGTACACTTGACTCAGTATAACCAAAGGATGAAAATATCCAAAGGGAGCGCATGAGTTGTCATCCCTTATCAACCGGACGGCTACACGATTTGCACCCCCAATAGAAGTAACTCTAGTTAGTTATTCGCTTCTGCTACCGACAAAATAACAAATAAACACCAAACCCATCCACATGTAACCGCAGACGAAACTGTCCAAACCAAGTATCGATTACATTCTAACGGTGACCCGACTTTGGAGTCTCATCGAAATTGAATGAGCTATGATCCTGCGATAGGGTTTTATTTCTTTCAGAGATATTTTTGAATTTCCGCTCAACGGAAGCATGGGATATGAATTTTAGAAAGACGGGGTCGCTTTCTGTGAGGCCGCAAAACTTGTCAACAATGTGTTGATGGTTGACAGAAATGTCACTACGCTTAGTCGCCGTACACTCAGCAAAAACACTCCAGATACCTGCATTCCCGGACACCTGAATCAGGCAATCTGGATAGAAGTTAACAGTAACATCAGTCGCAGGCAATTGCTACATAACTTACTAAATGGAATGAAACGGTAGTCGGTGGGTCGTCGCCAAGACAACCTTCTGAGGTCATCCAGTGGGGATCGAATGAGTGAGGTGCGATGGTCTACGGTTTGCGAAGATGGATTCTGGGCTAAGGAAGACTCGTCCGAGTGCACCTGTACAACACAAGTAAAAGGTACGGATGAGCAGAAAGCCATCCAATGTGCATAAAAAAAGTGTCCAAAGAGCACGAGCAAACAATCTACCTTAGACAGGTCTTCAACAACCGTGGGAGCCGGAATGCTGGGAATGGGGGTAGTGGAAGTTCCGGGTCGTCCAAAAGTCGCACGACTAGGCTACACGTAAATAAGATATACAAATCAAAAGTTAAACAGCCATCCGCAACAGTATTCGAAGATAACTGGATGAGCTAACGTCGTTTTCTAATCAGCATGGGTCGGGAAACACCATGGCACTGACTTCGTTTTCAGGAACCATATGTACTTAGGAGGCCCTGTTTCCATCCTTATGTATACACATTCCAGCTTAGCGAGTCGTTTGTGCAAGATGAACTACCAAGGGGTCACGCTACACATAGATCTCACCATCAGTCGCCGACCTGGGTAGCATAACCACAAGGCCGACGCGGTTGGTTTCATGATACAGGCACGAGGTAACTAAGGACAAATGTTCGGATCAGAACCGTTCACACAACACCTAGCGTCTAACTTGAGCCCCAAATACAAAGCTCAGGATCAGCAGACGGCCGTTTCAAAGAAAGTATGTGCCCTTCTTATTCGTTTTAGTATATTATATAAATGCTCCAATGCTGAACCTCTACTAAAGAGCGAAATGGCGAACGAAACCGCAGCTTGAAAACACCTTAATTTCAACTTTCATATACGCAAAAGCAGATAGTGTCCTAATATAAACTTTCCGTACCCTAATACGGTCATATCAAATGCTTACCCTTGTCCTTTGTGGGGATCCAATCAGGCTGTCGCCTCCGATCAGATGAGATTGTTGGTTTACTATAGGATACAAAAATTAATCATATTCAGTAAGAAATAGGAGCTCAAAGGGGGGTATATTCACGGTACCCAACAAAGTATCGCAGCGCCAAAGAAAGATCTCTCACTGTTTCAAAACGATGGCAATGAAATTGAGAGTAGCGATGAAATCGTGCTTGCGCCCTACAGTCATGCATTTCAGGGCGCCTACATATTCAAGCCATTCTTTGGACCATCCCCACAGAAAGTGGCCATACGATCTGACATCAATTCGCAGTTGGTTCCCATCGAGAATGTTGGTAACCATACCGAGATTAACGCTTCGCCCTGGAAGGAAGTCCGAAACGATAGCACGCACACTTTTCAGAGTCACCACCATATCCTCCTAACATGTCACAAGCTGCTCGCCCGTTACAAAACAGGCATGAAAAATAGCGTCATATTTCACAGGTGATGAAACAATCGCGGTTTTTCATTACAATCGTTACAATCGTCAACAAATACAGTTACTAAACAAATGAACAGCGCCTTTCCGCTTATCACCATTACGAGCTGCGGTGCCGAGACATCATTCATTAGTGACTAAGGAAGCTTCAGTTTTTCTACTTTCTCACAATCTTACAATAAAAAGAGTAGGACTTACGCAGAAGTACCGCCTCCATTCGATCTTTTTCGCTTAGCAGTCGGCGGCTGCATACAGATGATTTCTGTTAAAATAAAGCACTCAAATGAAAACGGTGCCAAACGGTTTGTCAAAATCAAGGGCTTGTAAATGCTCCTAAAATCCCTAAAAGTAAGCAGAGGACGGTAAAGTACGAATTATTTAGAACTCACCCTTCGAGTAAATGTACTGTGAATACGAGATGTGGGATCTGAAACAGAGGACAAGACGGAATACTTATTACATCAAGTAAACAGACTCTGTAGACGGATCATGAAAGAAGGGACCGGACGGGAAGACGCTGACTACACACAGTTGAACCACCACAAACCAAGTGTAATATTCTCCAAAAAACCTATGGATGGGCGCACGTTGGGTCCCAGCCAGTCGTCAATGGGATCAAGTTTGCTTCGTTGCCAGGTTATACACTGTTCTCGGTCGTTTCCGCTTAGCACAGAGCTGGGCTAAAAGAGTCCTACGAGGCAGACGGTCTTCTGGCATGCAAAGTACATTCCTAACCAGCATAACCCATCTGGTGCACCTCAGCATTACTGATCCGATATTCCGACCAGACCCAACAAATACTTCGGAGACACCGATGGACGCCACTGACAACTTTCGTGTGTACTTTGCGTGTGGAAGCGGCGTCCCTGATCCATAAAGCACCGGGGTAAAATCAGTCCCTGACAGACAAACGCTCAGCGCCATAAGTGTCGGAGGTTCGCGAAAGCTACCCTGACCTTCCTGGTTCGAGAAGTATGTCGTTTCAAGCCGGTCCACCAGAATGTATAAAACAATCCAGTAAATAAATTCATCTATCAATTCGATTTGCTCGTCTGCAAGCATGAGGTTTGGGTTTGATGCAACCCAGTCTTGTAGCAGCACTTTACGCCTTGGAGGAGTAAAGCGCATGCCAAACCGCGCGACAGAATGATTTAGGCTATTTGAAATGGTTTGTATTTGTGAGGAATTTGAACCTAGGAGAGCAATATCGTTCACATACTCCACGTCTCTGAGCGAGCGTCCCAGGGACATTTCCACCCCCCGAGGTTTCGGAGATAGATAGAGAAGTTTCAATAACATCAATAAAAAAGCTGAAGAGGGGGCGTGAGAGGGGGAAGCCTTGTCTTACATCAGTGGACATGGTGAACTCAGACAAAAGCTTGCCGTATATTCGTACTCAGCCCACAAACCCTTCGTCGCCAAACACCGCCAAAGTTTCCGATGATCGACAGAGGAAAAAACAGATTTCATATCGAGAAAAAGGACTAACATGAGACGTTTGAAACTGTCGGTGCTTATGAATTTGTATCCACGGCCAGGGCCGAACCCAGCTTGATTGTCACGAATCTGTCTCCCTTGGTTATCCATCAACCTGTGAAATATAACGCCGGAGAGCACATCAGATGCGACGGGGGCGAGGTTGATATCACGACGGTTTTGGCACGAGGTTCTTCTGTCTTTTCAGAAAGGATGACGGTCGAAGTGCTGTATTACACTGATATTCTGCTTTCGTTTCAAACATTCTGAATGTCGTCGGACCGCCAACCAAGACTTCATCATCACTGGAGGATGCAAGTTCATCAGCTGTAGTAACTGTAACAACCGCGTACTTGCCATACAGTGGTTCCATCTACCATACTTTCGGTCACAGATGACTGGGGGAAATGTGTGACGCATTGGAGGTTGTAGCAGATATAAATGATGCGCAAATACAAGGTTGTCAGAGGACTCTTAAGTGAGGAGAATAGAAAGGAGGCTATGCACTAAAGACACTAGCTTGGATTCACGTGCGCCACTAACAGCGCGACTGGGTTATGTCTCACAATGTCTCCAACCACTGATGTGGCCTGCCTCGGGGTCCCCATTCAGGAAGACAGCAATAACCAGCGCAGAGGGTCAGTAATGCCTAGTAATGCTATCAATGCCACTTACACTTCGCGGACCGGCCCATGTTCAACCGCCTCTGGATCGATGCAACCCCCTGAGGAAGCCGGTCGACTGGCACACGCAGCACGTGTCCAAGAAAGCACAACTTATGCAGTGTGATCACATATCAAAGGTGAATTATTTTTCAGAACACCATTCGATGATCAGATGGTCCCATAAGACTCGGGCAATAGTCGGAAGACATCGCTGGTCAAACATTCAACTAAAGTGCCCCCAAATCAACAGCGCGAACTGCAACACGCAGGCCAACCACAAAACAGGCTACTAGCGAGTTTTCAAGATCACGTCTTCGTGATACATTGTAAACACTCTGGTCGTCATCTCTCTAG